CTTTGAAGGGGAAGGGAGAACTGTGACTGGACCTTAGGAGCAGTTGGAAGTGAGACCGCTTAGAAACAGGAGGTTTGTTTCTCTCTCCCTGCTGATAAGGCAGGCAGCATTTGCCCATAAGTAAAGGATGCATGGGTAACAAAGTTGCTGAAGGCAAGTTTCCCCTTCAGAGAAAGTTTTGAAAAGAAGTCCTCTTGAAGAATCCCCTGAAAAGAAAGAACTTTTCTCTCTAAAATTCACAATAAATATCTTACTGCTTCTTGCTTTCCTGCTTGTCGTAAATACACTTCTGTAGTTCCTACTTTTAAGGACTCGGCAAACTCTCTGATTCTTTTGAACTATTAACCTCTAATCAATTCAGAATTGGTTAAGTGTCTCCCCTCACATGGCCTTCTATCAAACAAACAATATGGCTTTCACTTCTCTAGCACTTTATTACCGAAAGAACCTATCAAGCTTTAGATAAGAATGGTGAAGCCCAAATTGTTTCTTTAGATATCTCAAAGGCATTTGACAGAATTTGGCATGCTGATCTTCACAAGTTGAAGAGTTATGGTGCTCCTGAGTAAATTTTTGATTTGATATAATCTTTTTTATCAAATTGCAAAATTAAGGTTGTCTTGAACAGCCACTCTTCTAGATCTTTCTATATTAATGTGAATAACCATAGAGCTCTATTTGCAGACATACTTTGCTCTTCATTTTTATTAATGATTTTGTAGGGATACAGAAGGTGCTTATCTCCCTTTGATGGAGATAAATCACGTAGGACACATGATGGTTGGTTTGTGATGTCACTCCATACAGTGACCAAAGGGACAGTCATTTTTCACTTCATATGCAGCAGCCAAACGAGAATGTTGCTTTCTTTTAGCTGGGACCAAAGGGCACAGGCTGAGGCTAAATCTGCCTTCCCAACAGCTTGCAAGTACATGGTGCCGTTTACCTTTAGGACATAGATGAATATGGCCCATTTAAATCTGGAGTCCTAAAATAGACTTATCCAGATCAGGAGTATCGCCATATTATATGTAAAACCTTTCCTTATTGTTTCTTCTTGCACTCTCCTTTGCTGTGTAGATATATGTAATATATAGTTCTCCACATGGGATTTGTGTATATATATATATATATATATATATATATAGTAAGGTAATGAAGGGATTGGCAATCCATGTGGATAACTCCAAAGAGGATGTAATCCAGAGAGCTCAATGTAACACCAGAGCAAATATTAATTAAATAATTAAGAAAGGTTAATTAAGGTTGTCTCTTTCTTAATTATTTAATTAATTTATATATATATATATATATATATATATATATATATATATATATATGTGTGTGTGTGTGTGTGTGTGTGTGTGTGTGTGTGTGTGTGTGTGTTTTGTGTATGTCTTACTATTATAAAAGTCTCTCTGAGAACAAAGCATCTTTGTCATTCTTTTTCCTTTCAGCCATTCCGTTCTGTCCATGAACTACAGTGTTATAATATTACAGATATAATAATGCCCATAATGGAAGAAATATAAAATGGGAGAATAAATCTTTCTTCCATACCTTTCCTCTCATAACAACCTTACTGATGTTATCAGTTCTCAAGTCAGTATCTATGCTGATGACACAACTATTTACACCTGTCTTAATAGTAAGTCTGATTAGTAGTTGATCACAAAAATGACCTCCAAACTGTTAACTCAGGCAAGAAATGGCTTGTTCATTTTAATGCTGCCAAAGTTAAACTGCTCTTTTTTAATCATCTTAGAGAGCCTTATTTTGCCTGTCAACGGTATGGCTGATGTAAACCTCCAGAAGAGTAACTCAGTGCACCTTCTCAGTCTAAAGATTTACACTGATATGAACTGGAATGATTATCTTACTTATTATAAAATGCAGATTGTGTCTGTGTGTGTGTATGTGTGTACGTTTATATATTGGATCGGATTTCCTACATTTTTCAACCGATTTCAACAAAACTTCACAGGACTGCATAAAATTACCTTGCGGTGGTTCTGACAGTGCCAAAAATTGGAAAAACACAATTGTTTTTGCACAAAATCAATTTGAAAACATGATAAAACACGATTCTGTCGCCAGAATGAAAGGGAGACAACTCATATCGAGTTATACTTATTATAAAACCCAGGTTGTTTGTGTCAGTTTGTTTATATATGGGATCGAATTTCCTACATTTTTCAATCGATTTCAACAAAACTTCACTTTTTTTTTGCCAGGTAGTGTTTCTTATTGTCTTGCACACTTTTTTTTTTCTTTATTTTTACATTCAGAATGCTTTAAAAATTCCATTTACAAGACAATTGTTTATGATAAAATTCTATTCAATCGATAGACTCATAACGATTGAAAACAATATTTTTGTTTGAGTTTGGGTTTGACCAATTCGTAAAAAAAAAAACTAAAAAAAAACTAATTAAGACATGCGTGTCCGTCAACCTTAAACAATAATCTTTGTCAATTTTATTTTTCAGTCTTTATGATGGTCGATACTTGATCTATCTCTTCTTACTGTTACATCCCCGGGCAACGCCGGGCTCTACTGCTAGTATAGAATAAATAGTTGAATCTGTTACTTGTAAAGTTAGTTCACTCTTTCATCCTAGGTAATTTTTCTTGATAGAATCTATTTTACACCATAAGTCTCAATTTGTCCATGCATTGAGTATTGTTGCCACATCTGTTCTGGTGCTTTTGCTTTGTATCTAGAGATTATTATTAATCTTGTACTAGCATCTCAGTTTCAATCACTTTTCCACTGCAGTAATATAGCTTATAGGGGTTTATGGGAGTGTCAGGGAGAGGTAGTACCTTTAGCAAGGAGGTTGCCATGTCCTTTTCAGCTTGTCTGCCACTGGTCCTCACCTGTCACCCAGCTCTCACCTGTGGCTCCTAGAAGCTGTCACATGCAACAACAGCAATCCCCAGGCAACCCATCAGCTACCCTCATCTGGTTTCACCAGCTTGCCAAAGCCAGCCAAACCAGATGAGGGTAGCCGACGGGTCTGTAAACTCCAGTGAGTTAGCCTTGGGCCATGTCGGCCCTACTGCATATGACTTCCAGTGGAACAAGCTGAAGAGATCTTAAAAATGCAATGTTATTGGTCCTGACTTGGCATCTCTGCATCAATCTTTTTCCCACTGCTGTAATATAGCTTCCCTGTGCCTTTTCTATAAATAATTTTATGGCAATTGTTCTGATGAGCTTTTTGTCTTTGGTATCTCAACTTTATGAATTTAAGCACAGTACTAGGTTAGTATCATTTTACTATTTCTAGATGTAACCATAAATTCTATTCAAATAGTATCTTCTGTTGCACTTCTCACCTATGGAATTCTTTGCCGGCTTCTTGCTTTTTTATCAACTACGATGTTCAAAAATTTAATGCTACATAGCCATCTTTTTTGTTCTTTTATTTTCCTTTGTACTCAATAATGTTTTCTCAGTTTCCTTTACTTTCTAGTAACCTCTCGCGTCTTAATGGCTTTATTGCCTTGCTTAGGGTGAAATAATTTTAAAAAAAAGAGAAATTTTTATCTGGCTATATCTCTGAGATGAAGTATTATGATTATTTACATTATTCAAACCATTATCTTCATCTTCATTGTTAAAAGGCATTGGTTAGATCCAGTGACTAAACCCAAAGAGTTATGAGTTCAGGCTACAGCAGTAGTGAACCAAAACTTAGAGAGTTGAGTTAAAGGGAAATAACTGAAACATCCAAAAGAGGCATGGTACATGGAACTAGAACAATCTAAATGGTGACCAAAATAAAGTGTTTGGTTTGAAATTCCAATCACCTGAAGAAGGCAGGAATGTACAATGGCCAAAACATTGTGAATATGGTAATGAAGATGAGGATAACATTTTGAATAATATAAATAATGTAAGATTTTTTGGTAAATTTGCAGTTTAAGCCCTGCACACCAATTGTAATTAAAATTTCCTGAAAATTTCCATTTTGGTGCTAAATTTACATCATTATTTCGAAAATAACAGTAAAAATTTGTGGAGATCTACAATTTAGGAGTTATCGACTATAAAAGTTTGGACTGATCTGCATCACAGCTACAGCATGGCAGCCATTACTGGCATTGTGTACATACATTTGCCTTGAGTAATCATGTGTGGAAGCTTCACTTGTCTTGATTATTGCACATGCAATGTGCAAACTTTGCATGAAATTTAAAAAACAGTCTGATTATTTAAAAAATAAAAAATAAATGCTAGAAAGGAATTAATAATAACAAGAAAAATTTTATCGTTCAAATTTTTTTTAAATTAAATTTGGGGTTTTAAAAAGCATGATTATTTACAAAAAAGAAAAGTGCTAGAGAGGACTTAATAACATAATCAATTTTAAACAACACTTGTCATTGCTTTTCTAAATAACTTAAAAAAAGATTCAATAAAAGCTTAATTTTCAAAAGTGTCTAAAGACTTTTGGTTTTGCACAATAATTGAGACAAGTAAGAAGAGGAAGATCAGTAAAAAGGCCGTTAACTAAATAAGCTTCTATGCATGAGTTCTCGAGGCATATGTATGCAAACAATGCCAGTAATGGTGGATGAACCCAACGTGAAGGAGTCTGAACTCTTAATGTTGATAACTCCAAAACAGTAGATTTCTGCAAACTTTTTTTACTTTTACACTAAAATGGAAAATTTCAGGAAATTTTAATTACAGTTGGTGTGTGGGACTTTGTTATGGAGTGATTTCACAGTGGAGGCTTGTATTTGTACTAAGTTGGTCCTAAAATAGGTAATCTAGTCGTGGTTGCTGATAGTTTAGTTTAGTATTCGACTGACCGAACTGACTCCCACTGAGCGACTGACTCGTTACTCTTACTACTCCTACTTATTATAGGTGGGAGAGTCTATTAACTATAGAATAGGTGTGTTCCACTATAACAGACTTAAACTGTATATTTACCAATTTTTTTGGTAAAATTTCCCTAAAAATGCCCCTTTATTTTTTATTGCAGGAAGATTCCCGTTGTACATCTCGTTATTACAGTAAGTAGAATTCTTCTTAAAATTTAAAACATTTAAAACATTAAATTTAATTAAATCTAATTAACTATCTCTTCATTTAGATCCATTATCAATGGTTGGCAACCTAAACTTGTTTATCATTCCAACTGTAATGACTTTGACCCTCACTTGGTGGCAATCTCTTGTGACCTTGTGCTTGACTAGGTCAACTCAAAAATATCTACCCAGCACAATACTACAGCAATGTCTGACTTTCCCTGTTAATTACCTATGTTAAATAATTTATGCCTATAAAATTCATGAACCACAAATAAAAGCAATTACTTTGAACAAAAATCAGTTTATTCCATGACTATTTACAGGCAGACTATTATCCTAATCTTTGTTGTTGTTATCACAACATTTCATCTATTGTGCCTTCTAGCTATCATCAGACATATATTGATCTGGGTAACCTATAGGGAATTTTGAACTGAACTTTTTATTTAATCTAATGCGGGGTGTGGGGAGAGTCAACTGATTTTATTCCACTGACTATGTCTAGGAATATCTCATCTAGTTCTTATTTTAATACTGCTCAGTTACTGCTGTCTAAGTAAAGACTGCCCAGCACAGTTACCATATGACTAAATTGATGAATCAATACCTTTAATCTACTAGTGGAATTTTCAAATACCATTAAATTTTCATTAAATTCATGAATCAACAACTTTAATCTACTAGTGGAATTTGCTAATACCATTAAATTTCCATTAAATTCATGAACCAACATATTTAATCTACTAGTGGAATTTGCTAATACCATTAAATTTCCATTAAATTCATGAACCAACATATTTAATCTACTAGTGGAATTTGCTAATACCATTAAATTTCCATTAAATTCATGAACCAACACCTTTAATCTACTAGTGGAATTTGCTATTTCCATTAAATTCATGAACCAACATATTTAATCTACTAGTGGAATTTGCTAATTCCATTAAATTCATGAACCAGCTAGTGAATTAAAGTGTTGTTTTGTGAATTTGGTGACAATTTTCTGCATGTTATCTGAATTGACACACACCTGAAGGCAGGAGTGCACAATGGCCAAAAGACTTTGATAACAGTAACAAAGATGAAGACAATAGTCTGCAGGTAAATAAGGATAACTCCTGTTGTGGGAATGCTAGTTGTGTTTATGTAGAAAACATGTGTCTTCTGGTATATTTCTCCCTTAACAATTAATGCGAACTCAAATATGAGTCCAAGCAAAAAACGAATAACACAAAACAGTTTATAAAACAGACAACAATGTGTGCATTTACAAAAGTTTACAATGACAATAAAAGAAGAAAACATTTAAAGATTAATTACATAGAAAATATTTAAACTAGAAAATGTGTGTTTGTGGAATGTGTGTAGGCCTACATGATAGACACGTGTTACAAGAAGTCCGAGAAAAAAAAAATAATATATTGAAAGTGAAAGTGGGGGACACTTTTTTACCACATGAAACTACATCGTATAGATGGAGTTGTAAGAGGAAGAAAGAGAATGGGTGAGAATATCATTACCTATTTATAGGCTTAAGGAGCATCCCCTAGCAACAGTTTTTTAGTAAAGTCAAGTGGGGTAATCCACACTCCTAAACCCAGAAATTCAGATAAAAATATTCTTTTTACATCTCTCAGTAAATAAATACAGTTGTCCTAAAATCAGTTATCATTACAATGGAAAAACATTTGTCATTAAAGCATCATATAACAATTGTGCTTGTGCCTCACTTTGTTAATTTGTATGACCATTACGTCCTGCCAGTACCTCACAAATAATGGACTATTCCGTTTTGATCATGTGGAAAGACAAAAGACTTACCAGTGATGCTACTTGGTTTGAGTAATAAAAAGAAAGAAAGATAGAAGTGTTTATCATCTCTTCCTAATACCTCATAAATAATGGACTATTTTGTTTTGATCACACAAGAAGACAAAAGACATATCAAAGATGCTACTTGGTTTCAGTGAGAAAATGAAAGAAAGAAGGGAAGACAGAAGTGTTTACCGTCTGTTTTAGTGAAATGGAAAAAGATGTCAATTTCAAATCTTTTCATTTGTACCCTCTTACTTCTTAAAATAATGACCAACATTCATATTTATGATTGTTATTGCAATATTTTGTTAAAGTTGTTAAGCTCAAATCTATAATGACGTAATAGGGAAATTTCTACAGATATTTTATTGTTGTAGAACTCATGATGTGTTTATTCAATCATTAACTGAAGAATTAAGATTCATCAGATATTTAAAATAGCAAAAGCGTGAAATTTTCATGGATTAAAAGTAATAAAAATAATTGACATTAAACATAAAAAATGATTGGCTGTTGAGGTCAGCAATAATTTTTAAGCTATTGGTGGTCACCATTTTTGTTGGGGTCATGAAGAGACCAATAGTTTGAGTGTTCAATGTGAACTGTTGCAACTGAGTCTGCAAAGTTCAAAGTTATATGTATGCCAATATGTGTGTGAAGCACACACCAACAAAACATGTGTGTGACTGCTGACTTGTTCATTTCAAAACGCAGTGAACAAAGAGAAGGGGACCTAGAACTTACTTACATCAGAGCTTTGTATGCCAAAAGATCATCATTCACCGGCACGTTGTCATGGTAACATGTGACTTTATATGGCATATACTGAGTCGGTGATCGGCTCACAAAGCCTGTGATTTTTGGCGAGAACATACTCTGTGACCAAAGACATATTTCCAGGTCATTTGGAGTTCAACCATGCAGACGTCATAGTGAGCACATCACATAACTTGTCATATCCAATTAGGTTCCAGAAACCAATTATTTTTGGTGCTGTGTTTTGTACAGAAGTTCTTTCATATCTGCTGATTTAGTAGGATTTATTTGTAAGTGTCTCTTACTTGTTTAGTGCTTCATTTATTGGCTGTAAAATTTAGGAGTTTATATCTCATAACACTACTTTTTGAACTACCTTCAGTCTTCAGTAATGTTTATTGTTTTAAAAAGCAATAATTAGAATTGAAATAAAATGTAAACACATAACGAAAGGGAATTTATACATTTTTGAGAATTTAAAACAAAAATATTAAACCCTATTTATTTATTAGATTATGGAATCATGCATGGATTCCACCTATTTTTACGTGCGTACGCGGATTGCACCCCTTCCTTTCACATTCGGTTAAATATAGCAGTAAACAGTCGACGTGAGGAGGTTTTGGCTAGCTGCTCCTGATTCCAGCTAGAACGGAATTTGAAGTTTTCCCGCGCATTTCTCTGACGTCACTGACAAACTTCGTTTTTCAAGTCAGTCACTGCCTGATTTTCAAACTAGAAAGTCGACTAATTTATTCCGTGCCCCTGACCCATACGCGGACCGGAATATCTTAACTAACCAAAAACTTCAACATGTCATGTGATTACAACTTTTCTTCAAACAACATGTTTGAACTTACCTCCGTTTTTCTACTAGAGAACGTAGAGTCTATGACACAGTCATCATCACACTTTTCCAAGACTAATTCCTCGTCTTGAAGCGAACGACATGTTTGAACCTTCCTCCATTTTCTACCAGAGAATGTAGAGACTACGACATTGTCGTCATCACACTTTTCCAAGACTAATTCTTCGTCTTGAAGTGAACAACATGTTTGAACCTTCCTCCATTTTCTACCAGAGAATGTAGATACTACGACACTGTCATCATCACACTTTTCCAAGACTAATTCCTCATCTTGAAGTGAACAACATGCTTGAACCTTACCTCCGTTCACTACCAGGGAACGTAGAGTTTTTTTCTTCACTGAAGATTGATAAACTTTGCAGAGTCTACGACACTGTCGTCATCACACTTTTTAAAAGACTAATTCATTGTCCTTCTGCGAACAACCTGTTCGAACTTTCCTCCGTTCACTATTAGTGAACGTAGAGTTTCTCGACTCGGCCGATTGATGAACTACATGTACCTCTTTTGATTTCTAACCTTTACGAACCAGTTAAAAAAAAAAAAAAAGATAACATTACACACACATTATAAAACCTCGCAGTGAGTATTTTTCCTTGTTGTGTACACACACCTTTTGTACAAGAAGACTATATTCCAGAACCTTCCTTCTGAAGAAACTTTTCCCGCCTTAGCCATTTTGATTTTTGTTTTGGCGCAGAACATTAACATTCTACTAGTCACTACATTATACAATCTGCCTACTGGCTAAGAACAGCCTTTGCTTTACTGATGGTCTCCACTATGTGAGACGAAATATTTGTTATTAAAATAAAGTTTTATATTTGTCTTCCACCAGACTCGTTTTGTCGTTACTCTTGGCTACCTATTTTTTGCCCTTTGATGCACGTGTTGAATACAGTCATTTTTATTCTATCCTTCTTTTCTTTTTTTTTTTTTTTACTTTGTTAGTGGATTCGGTAGTCGTAAGTAGTGTCTGGCACAAGGCCACCTTTTCGTAGGCCAGCACTGCATGCTACCTGGGTCCACTACAAGATTGTTTATTTACAAGAATAATTTTATATTTACAAAATTATAAAAACTAATACAATTAGAAGTAATACAATACAATATTAATCATTTAGCAATTTATAAAGAAGTATAAAAACAATTTTTTATTCATAAATGTATAATTATTTACTAAATTATTAAAATATGTGAACCAACTATAAGAAAATCCTTATTATTTACCATTTTATAAAGTTTCAATCAACTGGCAATTAGCCGATGTTTTCTAGTTATTCCAATAAATAATTTAATAAATAATCTTTAATAATTTTGTTGTAAATTCTCAAAGAACAAAAGAAAATGTATAAATTCATTTTCATATGTTGAGGTTTTATTAAAATTCTAATCATCGCTTTTTTAAAACAATAAACATTATCAAAGAGCGAATTTAGTTAAATAAAAGCAGTATCATGGTTTATAACCATTTTATTTTGACCCCTAGAATCTATCATTCAGCAAATTTAATAGTGCCCATGGGAATTTCTGAAAATTTGGCTGAGTTGATATAGAATTACCCTTGTAGGGTCTCCATCTCCCTTAGGATAGCTTTGCTGTAGAGGTTGAGTAGACCTGATAAGATCCATCCTTGTCTTACCCCTTTTTTTATTTTTGTGTATCTACTCAATTCATTTTCTATCTGTATGCAAGCAGTTTGCATCTAATACAACACCAAACAGCACTATTAAATACGGTTTCTAAAAGTTAAGAGTAGTGAGTTTGATCATCACTGGATGACTCATTCAAAATTCGACCTTAAAAATTCCAATCAGAGCTGACATAGTGCAAAATCAATCAATCTACTAATCCAACCTAAAAGTTAATTTTAAAGAATTACTATATTTTCTGATGTATGTTTGTGCAATTATTTAATAATTTAAATACCTTCATTTTTTTCTTGAGATCTTTGGATCAGTGGATTTTCCTTTGCCAAAAAATATCCTTCACAACCACGGGATCTCAAACTGGACATAACGTACACAGAAGATAATTTCCAAGTTTTGAATCTCACCTGGAGACCACCAAATGATAGTAAGTATCAATAGCAACAAATTAAATCAACCTGTTTTCCATGTTTTGTTTGTTTGTTTAGTGGCATGTCAACTTCTTATGGGTCATTTAAAAATGTGCCTTTATACTTTCGTAATGTTTTGACCCCAGTTTTGGGGTTAACTATTTGCCCATAGTTGGGACCCTAACAGGTGCTACAACCCCAAGCCAGGGTGAACCTGAGACCAACAGCAATTAAGAAGTGTTTCCATGTACCTTAAAACCTCCCAATCAGAGGTCTTGCTGCAGGATATAGTTTATTATCACACCCAGGACGGGTTTACCAAGTTAAATTAAGGTAAAATATCAACATGTGGAGTAAGAGTTAGGAAAGTCTTCTATCCAAATTCTAGTTGCAGAAAAACAACAAAATTTGCTCTGGTTATTTCTGTTCAAATTTCTGGCATGAAACGTTATCATTATTTACGTGCAGACTATTGTCCACGTTCTTGTCATTATTATTATTTTAAGTATTTCACCTCAAGCTAAGTGATAATGTCACTAAGACTCCTGGGATTACTGAGCATGAACGAAAATGAGAAGACTTTCGTGAGGAGAAAGAACAATAAAAGAGTAGGATTCAGGAAGGCAGAAGATGGTGATTGATGTTGCTTGGTTTGGTTTGGTTTGTTTCACAGCATATCAACCTCAATGGGTTATTTAATGCCGACAAGGGTTTTATTGTTGGTAATATTTTTTTCAAAAATGTATTTCTGGTAATCTTTTTTTTCTTCAAAAATGTATTGCTGGTAATATTTTATCCTTCAAAAATGTATTGCTAATCATCTCTTTTTTGTGTCAAAAATGTATTGCTAGTAATATTTTGTTTTTGTTCAAAAATGTATTTCTGGTAATCTTTTTTCTTGTTCAAAAATGTACTGCTGGTAATATTTTTTTCTTCAAAAATGTATTGCTGTTAATATTTTTTTCTTCAAAAATGTATTGCTGGTAATATTTTTTTCTTCAAAAATGTATCGATGTTAATATTTTTTTCAAAAATGTATTTCTGGTAATATTTGTTTCCTTCAAAAATGTATTGCTGGTAATCTTTTTTTTGTTCGAAAATGTATTGCTGGTAATATTTTTTTCTTCAAAAATGTATTACTGTTAATATTTTTTTCTTCAAAAATGTATTGATGGTAATATTTTTTTCAAAAATGTATTGCTAATAATCTTTTTTTTTTGTTCAAAAATGTATTGCTAGTAATATTTTGTTTTTGTTCAAAAATGTTTTGCTGGTAATCTTTTTTTTGTTCAAAAATGTTTTGCTGGTAATATTTTTTTCTTCAAAAATGTATTGTTCGTAATATTTTCTTCTTCAAAAATGTATTGATGGTAATATTTTTTTCAAAAATGTATTGCTAATCATCTTTTTTTTTGTTCAAAAATGTATTGCTAGTAATATTTTGTTTTGTTCAAAAATGTATTTCTGGTAATCTTTTTTTGTTCAAAAATGTATTGCTGTTAATATTTTTTTCTTCAAAAATGTATTGCTGGTAATATTTTTTTCTTCAAAAATGTATTGATGTTAATATTTTTTTCAAAAATGTATTTCTGGTAATATTTTTTTCCTTCAAAAATGTATTGCTGGTAATCTTTTTTTTTTGTTCAAAAATGTATTGCTGGTAATATTTTTTTCTTCAAAAATGTATTGCTGTTAATATTTTTTCTTCAAAAATGTATTGATGGTAATATTTTTTCAAAAATGTATTGATGGTAATATTTTTTCAAAAATGTATTGCTAATAATCTTTTTTTTTTGTTCAAAAATGTATTGCTAGTAATATTTTGTTTTTGTTCAAAAATGTATTGCTGGTAATCTTTTTTTTGTTCAAAAATGTATTGCTGTTAATATTTTTTTCTTCAAAAATGTATTGATGGTAATATTTTTTTCAAAAATGTATTTCTGGTAATATTTTTTTCCTTCAAAAATGTATTGCTGATAATCTTTTTTTTTGTTCAAAAATGTATTGCTGGTAATATTTTTTTCTTCAAAAATGTATTGATGGTAATATTTTTTCAAAAATGTATTGCTAATAATCTTTTTTTTGTTCAAAAATGTATTTCTAGTAATATTTTGTTTTTGTTCGAAAATGTATTGCTGGTAATCTTTTTTTTGTTCAAAAATGTATTGCTGGTAATATTTTTTTCTTCAAAAATGTATTGATGGTAATATTTTTTTCAAAAATGTATTGCCAATCATCTTTTTTTTTGTTCAAAAATGTTTTACTAGTAATATTTTGTTTTTGTTCAAAAATGTATTGCTGGTAATATTTTGGTCAAAACTTCATTGCTGGTAATAATTTTTTACAAAAATATATTGCCTGTATAAAAAGTATTTTACACATTTTGACCCCAGTTTGGGGGTTAACTGTTTGCCCATAGCTGGGACCCTAACAGGTGCTACCACTCCAGGCCAGGTTGAACCTTGGAAAATCTGCAATTAAGAGGTGCTTCTGCACTCCCCAAAACCTCTTGATCAGAGACCTTGCTGTTGGGCATAGTTTATTGTCTTATCCAGGATACAACTGATGTTGCATATAAATGCTTGAAGATTGGAGTTGACAAGTAATCAAGAAACCGGAAGAGATTTCCACAGGCAAGAAGTGCAAGAGAAGAAACTATTAGAATAGAACTTATGTTTACATCAAGCTATTTCAAGAGTAAAATGATGTGACCTAATTGCCAATTTAGTACCAGATTTAAATTCATGTGGTTGAGATACCAATGAGGAGAGCTCATTAGGACAATTACTGTGAGAATATGTAGTGAAAGAGATAATCAGATATCTTGAAAAAGAGTTTGTGTTTTGTATGAGATCTGCTGAAGAAAAATTACCAAAAAGTAGTTAGCAAAAATCTACTTTAAGGACCAGAATCTATGCTAATGTTCTCCCCCCGCCCCTGAATGGCATGACCAATCAGAAAAATCTTGGTGAACAAAAGCTCTTGTTTTTCGCTTATGTGGGCATGAGATTTTCTGAGCTTGGTGGACGAACACATGTTTTTTGCTGGTGAGAAATGAAGGTTGGATGTGTGACCCCATTTTGTCGTTTTCTACATTGCCTGTTGGACTGTTACAACAGACTATTGTTTGAGCTGTGATTTGGCTACAAGTGTTGCAGTCGAGAGACAGAAGAAATCTATTGCAGACATTTATTGATACTATAAATTGACAGTTTTTTTTTCTTTTCTTTACAACCACAGAATATTTATAGGAAAAACAGAGAGAATCCAAGTCATGGCAATGGTAAAATGACTAAAGTTGAGATGCAAAGTCAGAGTGACAGATACAGTTAGACAGACTACCTGGTATGAAAATAAGTGCAAAGCCTATTCTGGCATGATCAAGGGTAACACACATTACACTAATTTTAACTTTTATATTAAGTAACATGCAGGCAATGAAAGTAAAAAAAAAAAACAACAGAAACATGTGTGGCTTAATGTTGGTCTTGTAAAAGATATTCCACTATACACACGTAGTGTAGCAGTTATCATCATGGTGATTTGTATGACAAGTTCAAACTCTAGCTGAAGCAGATACATTTACTTTCATGCAAATACTGTTGGGAAATGGCCATCTCTTTTATTCTCAGCGATATATTAATAGCAAGACAGACTGGACATTCAAGCTTTGATTGGCAGCCAGTCTAGGAGAGCAAATCTGAATTCAAAATCAGAGGTGGCACTAGTGACTCAGCCCCAAAAAAACCTATTTGCTACAGGGACCACAGCAACAACAGCTAGCATGGTGAGGCTATGGCTATACACTCTGATTGGTTTGTTTGCTTAATGGCATATCAACTCCTTATGGGTCATTTAATGCTGAAATTTAATTTTCTTGGGAGCGTTGGTAATTTTTTTTTTCAAAAACATATATTGCTGGAAATTTTCTTTCTATGAAAATGTATTGCTGGTATTTTTAATATGAAAATGTATTTTTTTACTTTCATAGTGTTTTGACTTCAGTTTGAGAGTTAAATATTTTCCTATAGGTGCTACCACCACAGGTCAGGGTGGACCTGGGAACATCAGCAATTAAGAGGTGGTTCCACATTCTTCAAAATCTCCCAATCAGAGGCCTTGCTTCTGGGTGCAGTTTATCCGTTTAGTTGAAAAGTAAGACAATTTATAAATTCAATGTGCTTTGAGTCAATTGTAGATAGATAAGTACGTTGACAGGTAAATTTACTAATATATTGACAGTATGGCTTAGATACAAAGACAAACTGAAGACCAACTTGTCATCTGTCAATATACCTCATAACACCCTTGAGCACTTAGCCTTTAAGCAGGTAGAGTGGAGATCAATGTATTTTACTGGAATCAGCAGTTTTCAATTTGCTAGTCTAAATTGCCTTTAAAAAGCGAGAGCAAGATTTAAAGGTCAGTCAATCTAACAGTGACCTCATTCTACAATCCTCACTCTTGCTCCATATGTGGCCTCCTTTGCAAATCACTTGTGGGTACCATTTAAGATTAACACACAAAATTTATAACTGAATCAAATGATTAGGTCATCAGATCCTCATATGTCGAAACTGATGGGAGAGTCCATTATTATTCTATATAAGTAAATCAAAAAATGTTCAAATACTTATCTAGGACCGTCTTTGAAGTCTCGCGGACTTGCCACTCATCAGGGTCAGATAAAATTACTGCATTATTAACAGACCTCATATTTATAGTCTGCATTAGGAACACTACATAAATGTTTAAATTTGAAATTTTGTTATACTTAAAATTTTCAACTATATGATAATATTCCAATATTCAATATCACCACAATGTGACAATGTTAAATTGAAATATTTGCTTTCTTCTTTTTTGTTTCATGCTTATATACAATCATCAATTGCATATAAACATGAAACAGACTGTCACCTCAATGTCCGCATTTATATTTAAATACACTCTATCCCTGATAGTGAGCACTTTAACCCATAAATATAAAATATCATAAAACTGTATTTTATCATATAAAAGGTGTGATGGGTAAATTGTCACCATTTTATATTTTTAATTTCACACTTATGCATTATTTGTTTTTAATTTTGTTGACTGGACATTATAGTAGGGTCAGCTGGACATGGTCTGTGAGAAAAAGAGCACCATGATACAATTCACTCCACAAGAAATTTGGAAATGGCATGCTGTACTGCTTGGCATTCACACCAGAAGCTCCAATACAAACATTTCAGAGTGTTTGGGTGTCAGTCTGAGAATAGTGCAGAAGATTTGGAAAGAGTTGGATGAGTCTAATGGTAATTACAAAGGTGTTTGAACTGAAGACTATTGGAGGTGATGTCATGTCTCCATTCATCTTTCCACAAGGCCTTAGACTCAACATTGAGGCCTACATTGAGTGCCTTAAGCAGGTAGTGCTTCCCTGGGTCAAGAGGGTGGCTGCTGGAAGACCCTATATCTGGTGACAGTACTGGCACTATGCCACACAAGTGGAACCCAGTCATGACTGTCAGACAATTTCTGTGACCTTACATCTGGCCACCTAACTCCCCAGACTGCAACCACCCTTGATTATTATGTGTGAGTTACAGTTGAGTGAGAGACCAACAAAAATCCTAATAACACAAAAGATGAATTGGAGGGATAGATTATGGAAGCATTCTCCAACTTAAACAAGGAGACTGTCCAAAAGAGTTGTAGAAGATTCTGAAGTCATCTGGAGGCCATAGTTGAAGCCGCTTGCAATGTTATTGAATAAATTTACTCTTTGGTATTTCAAGATGTTTTTGTGTAATTTTGGTGAATATATGTGTTAAAATGAGATGTCAATTTTATTTTCATTTTTGCGTAATTTAGATGACAATTTATCCATCACAATACACACACACACACACACACACACATATATAAATATATATATATATATATATATATATATATATATATATATTCAGATGTAAGTTATATATCTGTAAAAAGACAATATGAATAAAGACAAAAGGAAAAGTTTTCTTTACCAGATTGATTTCTCTTGATAAATTCCATTATAGAACAAAACATATTGGTAGGTTTTTCATCACTTTATTCATATATATATATATATATATATATATATATATATATATATATATATGTTATTAAAGACATTTTATGTTTAACATTCTTTTTATAGATACAAGTATTTAAATGTTCTGTTTATAATAAACAGTGTTAAATAACATTTACCGCCTGAACAAGAAATTTTCATAGAAAATACGTCCTTTGACAATCGAACCTGCATCCTATCTTACCAACCGCCACAAAAGGAGTGTTCGGTAGGCAAGGTCGAATTTACTGCTTATAAACTTCAATCTTCCATGAATCTCGTACATTCATAACTTCGAATGCTCCTTTGTGGCCGATTGGTAAGGCACGTCAGTGTAAATGATGCTTCCGTATAGGATGCAGGTTTGAATCCTGTCAAAGGACAAATATTTTCTATGAAAATTTCTCAGACATTCAGGCCGGTAAATGTTATTTAATACTGTTTATTATAAACAGAGCATTTACTTAAATACTTGTATCTATAAATAACAACGTTAAACATAAAAATGTCTTTAATAAAATAAATTGTCGGACTTTGTCCATTTCTTTAATATATATATATATATATATATATATATATATATATATATCTCATATATAATGTATTAAAAAATTACCTTTCTTCCTAGAGTATGCTAATGACCTAAGTGTTTTGATCCTGGCTTGAAGCAATCACATGTCTAGCCACACGATGGTATGTTTAATATAGCAAAAACAGTCTGTTTGTGGATGACTATATATATATATATGTGTGTGTGTATATATATATATATATATATATATATATATATATATATATATATATATATATATATATATATATATATATATATATATATATATATATATATATATAGGAGAGAGAAAAAGAGAGAGAGAGAGGGACATTTGTGTAATTTTGGTAGATATATCTGTTAAAATGAGATGTCAGTGTTATTTTCTTTTTTGTGTAATTTAGCTGACAATTTATTCACTATGCACTGTAATGTATGTACACTGCATTGCCATTATAAAAGATATTTAGTAAGTACTAAAACAAAGAAAAGCCTCAGCAAATTCACCAATATAATATTCAAAATTACTGATGACAATTATTATATGTTTTTGACATGGGATAATTATCAAATATATGTGTCTGTGTATTCCAATGTGCCTTTTGTTTCTTTTTGCAGCAAGTATAACTTACCTCCTTGGCTATGAAATAGGAATTCCTAATTTCTGGCAGAGATATATTTACGATTTATCCAAAGCACATTTAACACCAAATGATTCAGAAGTAAGAGATTTTCATTTTTTTCACTCATAAAACTCTCTGCAGCCATCTTTTATTTTTTTATTAAGTGTTTGGTAGTGAGAGAAAGGGTTAATGAAGATTAAATTTTGGACAACTTTTATTGTTGATAGGTCATATAGAGACATTGATTGACCTAACTCTTGTGTGGGTTTGGTACGAGGTTACAGGTTGCCTGTGTGGTTTGATCAAAGGGTAGAATATTGTACAGATATGTCAAAGCCAGATGAAATCTCAGTTTCAGTGGGCAATCATCAGAATAGCAATCTGGTGTAAGCATAGTGCCAGGAGTTGACATATTTCTTGTGCTGGCCTGGCCGAAGTCACAAGTCATGGTCGGTGCACGTCTGTTCAATCAAGGTCATGGTGGTGGGTCATTTCATTGATTGGTAGACCTGTTGTGTTGAACCAAGGTGATGTTGGATAGCTTGTCTAAGCTAGTCATAGCCGATCATACCACCACTACATAACAGATGTCACACAATGGGGGGGGGGACTCAAGGAAGGAGAGAAGGCCTCCATCACAGAACACATACTACAACCACAGCATCTACTCTAATAGGAAAAGCCCCCCCCCCACTCCTTCTCTGGAAGAATCTGGATTGGGAGCCCCAAAGAGAGGCCAAGAAAACTCTCTCTCTCTCTCTATATATATATATATATATATATATAGGGAAGACAATTCAAATTATGTGACTTTAACAACCTTTATATATATATATATTATGACTTTTAACAACCTTATATATATATATATATATATATATATATATATATATATAAGGTTGTTAAAGTCACATAATAATTTCCCTATTCTTTTACTTAGGAAATTAAGTAGACATTTGGAACACATCTTTTTTTTTAAGCCAAAGGTTACTACTAGTATTCTGGAACTGTTTGTCAAGATTTTATGTATTGTATACACATAATTTTTGAAACATTGAAAGTTTTATTAGAATTGAGAAACACTGGGATGTGGAGGTACGTAACAAAAGCATTGTCAGTCAAGGGAGCTAATCCACTTCTGGTCGCTAAACCAGTGGATGTGACAAATGCAATATGATATTTATCATTTTCTAAAGAAATAAATATGGAAAAATTTTTTATTCATAAATTTATAAACATTTACTAAATTATTAAAATACATGAACCAACTATAAGGAAATCCTTATGATTTACCATTTTATAAAGTTTGAATCAATTGGCAATTAGCCAATGTTTGGTCAATCATTCCAATATACAATCAAATAAATAGTGTAAATAATCTAATAAATAAATGGGGTTTATTTCTGTTGTCAATTCTCAAGAACAAAGAAAATATATAAATTCAATTTCATAAGTTTAGGTTTAATTATAATTCTAATCATTACTTTTTAAAACAATAAACATTCCTGAAGTGTGAAAGTAGTTAAAATAAAAATGGCATTATGGGAAAAACTGTCATTATGACACTCCATTTTTTTGCAAAAATGAAGGTTCATGTTTGCCAACTGTGGCAAGGTGGATTTATATGTGTGTGACTTTCTTTCCTTCTATTTCAGATTGTGTTTTCTTTTGTGTGTAAAGTGAAAGAAGTATTACCTTTTATCTGCTTCACCTCACTGCCAATCCCAAAGAAGAACAACCTCTACTGTTTAGGTGAAGTATCAAAGCTTAATATTTTTAGAATGAGTTTCAATGACTTGATTAACTTACAATATATCAATGAGTTATTTAAATGTCAAAAAGCTAGACATAGGACTAGGCTTACAGGAGTTGAAAAGGTCAACTCCAGGTTATGTGAGTTTAAAAGATCGACATTGATTGCATTTGTACCTAAATGAATATATATATATATATATATATATATATATATATATATATATATATATTTTATATATACTAAAAAATCCATTACTTTTTTAAATATATATATATATACACACACACACACACACACACACACACATATATATATATAGAGAGAGAGAGACACAATTCAAGAAAGACATTCAGATTACTAACACAAAAACAGAGAATGTCTTATATCGAGAATATTTAACATTGAAAAACATAAGGAAAAAATTATTTTTAATAATATGTGGAAATCTCTGCCTTTTACCTGAAGATGTCCGCGAGACCAGAAACACGTGTAGTAAAATTATGGAAAATAAAGCATAATATTTTTTTTTAAAAATCTACATTACAACCAAAAACGTTTACAGCACTTCTCTTCTTTTCTTTTTAATATACACACTTTTCTCTCTTTTGGAACCACTATAACCTCTTTCTTTTTATATATATATATATATATATATATATATATATATAAAGAAAAGCAATGTACAAGTCATATATATATATATATATATATAATAAAAAAAAGGAATGTAGAAAGTCATATATATGTATATAAATATATATATATATATATACATACACATACACTTTATTACACAACAAAATCCTAAATTACCACATATGGGGGGAATGGGATAGGTCTATTTCAACTGACAAAAAGTATGCCAGTCTTATTCAACCTGGTGTATAGAGTCTATACACTGGGTTTAATAAGACTGATGTACTGCATATGTTCTGTTATAATAAATACATTGAGTTCATTTTGTGGATCAGTTTTAATATTTGATATTACTAGGATCCACTTGGATATCAATGGATTTATTACCTGTATATATATATATATATATATATATATATATATATATATATATATATATATTGATTCTGAGCTTCAGAGAATTTAGCTGTTCAGGTTAGGTTGAATAGTGATTTTCCAAGCGTAGCTTAGATGTGGCACAAGGCCAAAATTATGGGGCACCCAGTGAGGATCGAACTCACTACTCAGTTGTGATTGTTCTAGTGAGGACAAGCTTGCTTCAGGTTAGGTTGGATAGTGCCTTTAAGCAAAATTCCTCTCATCACAGACTTTTTGAAATGTTCATATCTGCTCAGTTTTATATCCAATGTAAACAAAGCAATTTTCTAAAGAAATAATGAATTTTTACTTATTAATCCAACATATATTATCTTATTAAATGTTATTTTAGTGGCTACTTTTTTTTAGTATCCACTAAAAATAACATTTTAATGTGATTTAATTTAAAAGAGGACTCAATCCAAAGTAGAGCAATATTCTTTATTTTAGGATATTACATAGACAAAATCGCTGCACAATTGCAGTTGTGTTTCAACGCACATACAATGCATCTTATCAGGTGATTGTGAAAGATAATTTATAATCGCCTAATGAGATGCATTGTATACTCATTGTGTAGCAATTTTGACATGTTTTCAATGTAATATCCTAAAATAAAGTATATATATGTGTGTGCAATTTGAATAAGGTATAGTTAGGCAGTAAGTATTCATGCAAATAAATTTGGTTAAAAAGAACCAACAAGGTCTGTCTGTTTAATTTTTTTTTTTATATTTTCCCAATTTTTGTATAAGGTGTTGAGTATTAGGACTGAAGTTGTTGATAAACTGTCCGAAGTTCATATTTTGTTATTTTTGTTCAAGTAATTTCAACTTTCCAGTCATTATCAAGAACCAATGTGGTGCATGTGTGTTAGTTTTAACTCCTTTGTCTGTATTTTGGTATTCATTAGGATGCTGAATGTTTGAAATGGTCTAATATAACATCATGCGTAACTGCTATTACGAACAAGGCAGTACAAAAAGAATGCAATTTATTTTATTTTATTGGGAGAATTATAATAGTAATATATTATAAATTAATTTATTTAAAATATGTTTTTTTCCACTACACAGTTCTAACCATGTTTCAAAAACCCAGTGCTTTTAAAAGTGTTGGGGCGCACCCACCTTCTAACTAGTAATGGACTGGTCCCTCTTATATAAGTCAGCTCTGGAGAGAGAGTGAGAGAGCGTCAGAGAGAGAGTCAGCGTGAGCAGTCCAGATAAGCTTACCCGGTACATACCGTTGGACTATAGACTTTGGATATTGTTTCGTACTAACCAACCTTCGTTCTACTAATCACTCTATTGTTAATTGCTTTTATGAATATACCAGTATTTTCCTCTACAACTGTGTTTGTCTTGATTCATACACCGACACGCGGGAAACTCACAACATCTCAACAAAAAGTTACTCCAAAATTCGCTTGAGGATGAAATGGAACTAATGTCTTTAATTTAATTACAAAATTAAATTCGGGGCTTTTAGCTTCCATTTTTGAAACATGGTTAGAACTGTGTAGCGGAAAAAACCATATTTTAAATAAATTAATTTATAATATTAATGCTCTGTAAATTTACATCGAGCACTATTTTGTAAAAATAAAAATATCTATAAGAACACCGGATTATATATCTTACTGTTCTTTCTTTTTATTTATATACACACATATATATATATATATATAACTGTGAACCTAAAGAGTCAGGCAAACCTACCTAGGTTTCACCTATGTGGATCATCAGGGTACGCCGGCCCAAGAGGTAACATTAGAACAGAATATAAATAGCCTACAACATAAAAACATGACCATGTGACAAAAAAAAAAAACAGTAACACAACAACAGGAGGGGTTAATACATATTTAATCAATAACAAAAAAAAAAAAGAAAAAAAAAACAAACCTATTCTAGTAACCAGTATTTCCTATGTCTACACTTAACTTAATTTAAGCTATAGTTGTATGCCCAGCATGGCTAGTTTAATTAAAAGATACAAAATGAGTAAAAGTTAAGGACAAACCACATAGGGCCCCTCCAAAATGTAATTGTAGGAATAAGAATTCCTGCCCCCTCCAGGGAAAGTGCCAGCAAGAGTGCATGGTATACCAAGTAAAAATATACAAGGATAAACTTAGTAATACTGATGAAAATCCAAAAGTATATATAGGATCTACCCAAAATAGTTTTAAAACCCGGTATTATAACCATCTTAGTAGATTTAATAATGAAAGATACAAACATAACACCACATTATCCACTTAATTATGGAAAATTAAACGACTATAATAAAGACCCCATTTTGAAATGGGAAATATTAAAGAAATGCCATAAGTCTAAAGCAGGTAAGAAATTTTGTCCTCTATGTATAGAGGAAAAATTAGCCATTACTTTGTATAAAGAACCCAACAATTTGCTAAATCTAAAATCTGAAATCTTGAGTAAGTGTAGACATAGAAAATGCTGGATACTAGTATAGGTTTGGTTTTCATTTTTTTTTTTTTTGTTATTGAATAAATATGTATTAACCCCTCCTGTTGTGTTACTGTTTTTTTTTTGTTTTTTTTGTCACATGGTAATGTTATTATGTTGTAGGCTATTTATATTCTGTTCTAATATTATCTCTTTTGGGGTATTGGTTTGTTCATTTATAAGCCAAGACACCTAAGGTTTTTCCGGACAAGTATACTTACTTATATTTATAAGATTATTATTATTATATATATATATATATATATATATTCATTCACTTACATTACCCCTATTTTATCAATAGTATTCCATTTTCTTATCAGAATCCACCAAACAAATGACAGAAAAAATAACAACAGTGAAACCTCTGAGTTTTACATGTAAGTAGATTTATGTCTTTTTATTTATACAGAGTCCACCAAATAAATGTATACAACCCACAGGAAAAACTTGGTTCTCATAGTTTTTTTTTGTTTTTTTTTAAGCATTTCACCCCAAGCAAGGCTGGAAGCCACTAGGACGCAACGGGTTACAGAAAATTTAGAGCAAGATCAGATAGGAGTGATAGAAGAAAGGTTGAGGAGATGGGTAGTGGATAGATCAAGGCAACTGGAGATGTCGATTGACATTACATTTGAATAGCTGGAGATTATAGCTCACAGGGAAACAGGAATAGGGAAGGGAGTTCCACAGGTGAGAGGTGTGAGACATGAAGCTATTGGAGTAGAAGAGACGGTTACATTTAGGAGTTTCAACAGTGAAGGGGTGAGAGCAGGATGCCAGCCTCGTATAGCGCTTGAACTCATGACGTCTGGTAACCAGCGAATGCAGCTCCTCAGAGCAATTTCCATGAAAGTATTTGTAGAACAGGCAGAGGGAGGTGACAGCGCGTCTGTGAGAAAGTGACTGTAGACGAGACGCCAGAGCAGGGCCAACTACATTACAAATCTGCCTCTGGAGCCTATCAAGAACCCTGAGGCAAACAGAAGGGGCACCAGACCATATGTGGCAGCAATACTCTATGCAAGGGTGAATTGTTGATTTGTAGATCTGGAGGATCGACTCCGGGGAGAAAAACTTCCTGGCGCGGCTCAGGGAGCCAACTTTCCTTGCGGTGGACAAAGCAATTGACTCAATGTATTTGTTCCATCTCAGGTCAGCAGTTAACGTGAGACCGAGAAGCCGCAGAGAGTTACTCTCGAGAAGTTGAGCGTTAGACATTCTAATGGAGGGAAGGGAAGGAGCAAATGGAAATAAAACGGCTGTAGTATAATCTTGACAAATGGTTTTACCCTCATGACTGTTACATAAAAAGGTAATGTCTACAATATGGTGGATATAATGTTTGTCATTTGAGAAATGTAAGATTATTAATAATCTGTACTAATAAATGTCTGGAAGTTAAAGGCCACCATTTTGAGCATCTCTTGTGATTGTAGAGTCCAAAAGTAACTTGTATTTATCTTGTGATGTCTGAATAAATTTTACTATATCTATACAAGTTTTTCCTTTCCTGAAGTATGCATACATTTGTTTTTGGCAGACTCTGTATATATATAATCAAATAATATTGATCGTATATCTACGTTTTATCCCAGATTGATTTGTTGTCTACAACTGGATCTCCAAAAGTTCTTTATTTTAACAAAAAATCAACATCTTGAATTTTATCAGTACACAATATATCTTGCAGACCAAAGTAAATTCTATTCAATTAAAATGAAAATATTAATAGATTAGTGAGAGGCTTGCAACATTTCATCTGTGAGGAAAGGGGTTGTAAGGTGGAAAATAATTCATCACCTATAAGGCTATGGAAACACTTTTGATCTCTATTGAAACTGGAAAGTGAAGACTGGGCAGAAGTATTTTTAGTCTGATCTAGCTCTTATAAAGGTAGAGGATAATAAGGGGAGTCAGGTACTTACTAGAGTGGTTGAGTTAATTAACACTGAATTACTTAAAGATGTGAAAATCTGACAGGTGAAACAAAAATGGACAACAGAACGAGGATATTTAAAAATTATGCAAAAGTATGTGTTTGGATTAAAGGAACATGAACAAACAATGAATCAAGTAACGGAGACAGAATTAAGTAAATTGAGGAATACTGAGTGACTAGAAGATCTTAGATAATATAGCTGAGACTAAATATTAAAAGTAGAGTCCATGTAAGTTAAGGTGGCATTTATATCCAAAGTTTGAAAGTTCAATTTATATGTCTGGCAAAAATGTTGAAAGTTGCTGGTTAAGTCCATTGATGAGCCTTCCATAGTATTTTAGCCAAAGTGTATGAAGTAGGTTATTTGAAGTCTGGACAATATACCCAAAGAGAAGAAAGTTCCATGTAAATGTCCAGTGCTAGCATTGTGTCGTTGTTGGTAAGTCCAATGGTGAACCTTCTATAATATTTAAACTAAAGTGTACAGAGTAGGTTGTTTGAGTCTAGATGATATGCATTTATTTGATAAATTAGAATAATTGATCTAAGTGATTAGATTGAATAGATAGAAATTAAAATTCAGTATTCTTGAAAAGTTTTATTTAGCTGTTCTATAAACAGCCTGCATCATATTCAGCTATATATTTTTTGTCGCTGACAAGTTTAAAAAAAGATGTTTGTAAAATGGTAACATCTGTTTTCTAAACTTTAATTCTTCCCTACTGTCATAAAAGCATTATTTATCTTTTTAATGTTTGCTGGCTAATATAAATGCTGTCAAAATTTGAAACATATTTCTTCAATGTAAATGCTTACAAAAATTGACCATAACTTGTCAAATAAAAAAAAATGTAATGTTTAATGAAATTTTGTGAATTGCAGTCAAATCAGTTCCTGATTATTCAATTTCTGATGACACATCAAATCATTCAAATTTATGGTACCTTTTCATTGGTCTGGGTATCTTTGTCCTGACGATCATCATTTTTGCAGTATTTCTTGTTAGATGTAAGTGCAACCGTTTTCTTGGTTTGTTTTACTAACAACTTTATTATCATTACTTGCATTATTTACATTATTCGGACTGTTATCCTCATCTTCATTGCCATATTCATAACATTTTGGCCGTTGTATGCTCCGGCCTTCTTTAGGTGACTGGAATTTTTCTTCAATATCTGTTTATATCTCTGAAATGAGGTATTATGATTACTTGCATTATTTACATTATTTGAACTGTTATCCTCATCGTCATTGCCATATTCACAACGTTTCAGCCATTGTACACTCCAGCCTTCTTCAGGTGATTGGAATTTCAAACTAAACCATTTATTTTGTCCACTGGGGGGTAGATTGTGCTAGTTCCATGTGCCATGCCTCTTCCAGATGTCTGTTATTTCCCTTTAACTCAATTCTCCAAGTTTTGGTTCACCAGTACTGTGGCCTGGTATTGAACTCCTAACTCTTTGGGTCTAGTTACTAGATGTAACCAATGATCCACTGGGTCATGTGTCATGGCTAATGCAAGAAAACAGCATATCAACAAAAACACACCGAGATACAAACATATGTAGCTCAATAAATGCTGTACACATGCATCAGAACGAATTTCTAAAAAAATTTTTTATAATAATATTCATCCTCTACAAGGTTCAAGAGCTATTTGAGGTGAGCGTTTAGGGAGTAAATGAGTACAGTTTATAAGGATATGTTGGGGGGGGGGGTATTGGTTAACCTTCGACTTGAACAGGCTTTAGTGATTGGGGGAGCATCCTCTTAGGAATGGTTTTACAAAGCTATGGTCCATGGGAAGAAGCTACTTGAGTGGAACTTACATCTCACCAATGGAAGACAAATAGAATGAGGGAGGTTTGATACAATCTGCATGGTATGGCAGGTCTTAGCTGTAAAAGTTAGAACTGGAGGGACTAAATAATGCAGTTCCTCTGAACACTTTCCATGAAAATAGTAGTAAAGTAGCGATAGGTTTGCAACATTTTGCCTGTAGGAAAGGGGTTGTAGGGTGGAAAATAATTCATCGCCCACAAGGCTGTGGAAACACTTTTGAATTCTATCAAGACCGGAAAGTGAAGGCTGGTCAGCACCTGTCCATATATGGCAGCAGTACTCCATTTTCGGCCTGATCTGGCTCTTGTAAAGGTAGAAGGTAGCAAGGGGAATCAGGTACTTACTGGAATGTTACAAGCAATTGACTATTTTCCAGCATCTTTAGTGATGGACCATATGTACAAGGTCCACTTAAAACCTGGGTTGAGCTTAAGTCTCAGTAAGCATCCCTGAGAGAACATCATGTTCATCATGATAGGTGAAAATTCAGGTTCCATTCGGTGATGATAAAATGTCAGTATGGTTTTCGAAGCATTGAATGTGAACAGTCAGATCCAGAAAGAAAGTGTGCACAGTGTGGTTATCTCACCACATCACAGAGGTTCCATCAGTGACCATGGCTTGTGCAGCAATTTTTTGCCAAGCACAACATTCCCCAGGTCCAACAATGACTATACTCCCCAGATTTAACCTCTTGTTACTTCTGCTTTCCAAAATCCCATTTGAAAGGAACAAGATTTCAAGATGTTGAGGAAATCCAACAGAATGTGATGAGGCATTTGCTCAGTATCCCCAAAAAGGAGTTCCAGGAATGCTTCCATCAATGGAAATGATGCTGGGTAAGGTGTGTGGCTTCAGAAGGTGATTACATTGAAGGAGATTAAATGCTGAATTGATGTATTGTAATTTTCTTTTTGTAGAATTGTTACGGATATTTTTATGATCAAACCTCGTATAATCATGAACTTCTTATCTGCACACTGTAGAATATGTTAGATTGAGTTATAAGTCAATTACAGTTTGGTGAAACCAATTTTAACGAAGTATATTGTTTCTTAAGTATATCATAACAAGTGATATGAAATGAGTTCCATACAACAATATTCAATGTAAAAGACAGTGTGTATTGGCAAGGATAAATCTGTAGAAAAAATAAATAAATAAATGATTATGAAGTGGGGGTGTCAAAAAGTGCAGTGCAGTGCTTGCCGGCAGGCCAGCTATTTTTTCTTCTTCTTCGGTTGCCTCAAAGAAATGGATTGCGTGACTCCCTTTGTCAGTCGTTACACTGGGCAGTTGTGAAACAGACACCAACTCAGCCGCGCCTACTTTGACTTCCTCTTTGTCCGTCTGTCAATCCGTATGTCAAGCAAATGACTTTGGTTCTCTCGTGCTGCCGGCACCCCGCTTTTTATGCTATTCCAATACGGCCAAAATTTGCATGTGTGCAAATATTGTCTCGTTTTGGACGAGATCGGCATGCATAAATAGTGTCTTCAATAGAGGCCATATTTCTTTTTGTCATCACTTTGCAGGCAAAACACGTTTGCGCTCGTTTCGAATTCTGAGGTAAGACATGTCTTTCATCACAAAATCTCTACAACCAACTCCAAAAGCTGAATTCCATGGAAGAAAAGTAATGTTGTATGGATGTTGGGATCATTGGGTATTATTTATATATAGTTCTTAAAACACAATAAAACTCTGAAAATGCGTGTTTATATATCCAGTACATGTAATGTGTCCATAAAAAAAAAGGAATGTGCTTATCAAAAAGAAAAATGTTATTCTCTTCTATGATAATGCAAGACTGAATTGTGCAAAAATAGCATAGAAAAAAAATTTGAACTTTAATGGTCTGTTTGACCTTTAACCATCATATATCACCTGACCATGCACCAACCCATTAATACCTTTTTTGATCGTTGGAAAATGCTTTGATGGGGAAAACTTTTTATAATGAAAACCAGATTCAAGAGTTTGTTAAAAACTTTTTCACATCAAAACCTGCAGAATTTTACTCAAAAGGTATCAAAGACTTGCCTGAAACGTGGCAACAAGTAATGTTGAATATTTTATTGATTAAAATGTATTTTATTTTCTGAACAAAAACGGAAATTATTTATGACTCAACTTAATATTTCCAGATTCTTGATAACCAATACTGGACCTGTTTATTAATTATTACCCCCTTTTAATTTGATATTTTTCAGATAACTCCAGAAAGAAAAAATCAGATGTTATTGAGGAAGCACTAGAAAATATCAACAAGAAAAACACTGACTATTCTGATGACGATTCCATTGAAGATGAAGATGGTGAAGTCTAAAATGATCTAAGTACTGCAATGGACATGTGAGATTTGTTATGCTCTAAGACTTCTGGTTTTAATGGAATCAGTAAGAATTAGGTTTGTGAGATTACTTCACCTTGTCTGGCAATTGTGATGAGAAGAGATTGAAAACTCTCAAAATAAACGAATTTGTGGAACATTGAGGAGTTGAAAATTTTGTCATGTCAAAATGTTCAGTGCGTTCGCAAAGAAAAAAGAAAAGAAGAAATCAGATAAAGTGCAAATACAAAATTTTTATATTCAAAAAATTGTTTAGTGATTTAAAAAAAAAAAAACTTGTGTTTCTTTTTCTTTTAATCAAGTTTCTTCTTTTTTACAACCAGAAATAAACTACATGCAGAAAAGTTTCTTAGTGATTTCTCTGCGTGCACACTCAAAAGAGTATTTGTTTTTTAAGGGAGGGGGTTAAAATCAGTTATTAATAGTGAATATTTTTAGTGAGTCTTGTTTGGTTTGGTTTGGTTTGTTTTGTTTTAAGGCATACCAACCTCAAGGGGTTATTTAATGCACACAAAATTTTTATTGCTGGTAATATTTTTTTCAAAAATGTATTGCTGGTAATAACTTTTTTCAAAAATGTATTGTTGGTAATAATTTTTTCAAAAATGTATTGTTGGTATATTTATACTCTCATAGTGTTTTGACCCTTTTGGTTGGGATGTAACTATTTGCCCATAGCTGGGGCTCTGACAGGTGCTACCACCCCAGGTTAGGGTGGACCTGGGAACACCAGAAATTAAGAAGTGGTTCCATGATCCTCAAAGCT